ATAGTTACCCTGCAGGAGATTGCAGGGCAGTGGATTGTTCCTCTGCAAGAGACTACCAGGATGATGCAGGCCTTTGACTCCTTATTTCCTGATTAAGTTGAATTCCCTGCCATGGCATCCTTAAACTAGACCTAACCGTCTGCCAGTCCTGCTCCTAACCGTCTGCCAGTCCTGTTGCCTTCTCCATAAAGCTTTGTGTGTGAGCTGCAACGGACTGCCCTTTTTTTTTTTTTTTTTTTTTTTTTTTTAATATTTTACGTATTTCCATATCTCTGCTCTATACTCTGCTTGGAGTGTTGTAATTATCCTCCTTTCTTCTTCTACTGTTTGACTTCTTAAGGATTATTTAACATGTTACCTACTTTGTGAAACTTTATCTCTGCCCCTACAGAATTAATCCTGTTTTCTCTAGCTCTTAAATCATCTTGATACGTACATAATAGGGCCCTTGGCACAGTTATAGGTCTCTGTGTCTGTCTGCTCGGATAAAATAACTAACTCCTTGAGTGCAATAGTCTTAACTTTAAATTATCAGTGCCCCTTCCAATGTTCCATATGTGTTAGAGTGGTTAAGTGAATGAAGGAGAAGGCCAATTGAATTTACTTTAATGAGTACTTAATATTCCCGTTTATGTATAGTTATAAACAAATAGTTTTCTTAATTAACTGAGTTTTTTAAAAAATAAATCTTTATTGTTCAGATTATTACAAATGTGTTCCTCTTCCTCCCTCCCTCCTCACTTGCTCCCCTCTACCAGGTTCCCACCCCACCTCTGTCCTTTCCCCATCCCCCATTGTCCTCATCCATAGGTGCACAGTTTTTGTTCAGTCTCTTCCCACACCTCCATTCCCCTTTTCCCCCCAAGAATCGTCAGTCCACTCCCCTTCCATACCTCTGATTCTATTATATTCACCAGTTAATATTGTTCATCAGATTTTTTAATTCCCTTGACTTTTAGTTTCACTTGTTGATAGTTACGTATTTATTGCTCATAATTTTTATCTTTATCTTCTTCCTCTTCCTAAAGAACCCCCTTCAGCAATTCATATAATTCTGGTTTGGTGGTGATGAACTCCTTTAGCTTTTTTTTTATTTGTGAAGCTGTTTATCTGGCCTTCGATTCTGAGTGATAGCTTTGCTGGGTAGATTAACTGAGTTCTTTGCAAACTTATTAGTATTCACAGTGCGAGTATAAATTTGAATTTAGTCCTGCTTAAAATGACTGCATTTATTTTTTTATATTTTTATTTTATTTTTTGTCAAAATGACTGTATTTAAAGGGGTTTTAGTCCTAACTGGTTTGGCTCAGTGGATAGAGCATTGGCCTGTGGACTGAAAGGTCCCAGGTTTGATGTACTTGGTTGCGGGCACATCCCCAGTAGGAGGTGTGCAGGAGGCGGCTGATGGATATTTCTCTCTCAATGTTTCTGACTCTGTCCCTCTTCCTTTCTCTCTGTTAAAAAATCAGTAAAATATATATATTTTTTAAAGAGGAGTTGTTTTTTATAATTCTGTGCTTTTTTATATAAAGTTAAAATCAGCATTCTCACTGAAATTAATGGTTAGGCTAGGTAAGTTTGTTAGTAGAAGAAATTATTTAATAAGAAATAGATCTCTTATATTAGGAGTTTTTTTTTTTAATAAATCTTTATTGTTCAGATTATTACAAATGTGTTCCTCTTCCTTCCTCCCTCCCTTGCATGATTTGAATGGGTATTTTTTACTAAAACGCATTTAAAATGTTATAGTAGGAATTCCAGATTGGTGGTAGCTTCTTTCGCCTCACTTTCTTCTTTTACCATCACATTTTCTTGTCCTGGCCAGGTAGCTCAGTTGGTTAGTGTGTTATCCCCATATACTGAGGTTATGGGTTGGATCCCCTGGCAGGGCACATAGAAGAATCAACCAATGAATGCATAACAAGTGGAACAACAAGTCGATGTTTCTCTACCCCCTTCCTCTCTCTCAAATTTATAATAATAAAAATGTATTTTAACAAAACCCCACATTTTTTTATGTTTGTGCCCCAAGATACAGTTAAAAAGAAGAGATTATTCATTTTTAGAATTGTACTGCAATAGACTTGATTTGAACCTCTATTTTCTACTGCCCCTCCGCCCCCCCCATATGAATGGACATAATGCCCTAAAATATTGTCAGTAATTGACCAAGAGGTACATTTTAGGTGGACCTACTTTATTACAAGAGAACTAGAGGCCCAGTGCATGGATTTGTGCACCTACGTGGGGGGGGGGTGTTGTCCCTCGGCCTAGCCTGCAGGGATCATGCTGAAACCGGCTCTCCAACATCCCCCGGGTGGTCCCGGATTCTGAGAGGGCAGATCTTGGGTGATGCACCCTGGAATTGGGCTCCCTCCTCTCTGATTTCGGGTGTGTCACCTGAGAACTGCAGCTGCCAAGTCACCACAGCTTGGCAGCACCTGTGCTGAGCATCTGCCCCTTGGTGGTCAGTGTGTACTAGTGTGTGTGTGTGTGTGTGTGTGTGTGTGTGTGTGTGTGTGTGTGTATAAAAGCCTAAACAAACATTACAACTGGTCACTATGATGCACACTGGCCACCGGGGGGCAGACAATGCAGGAGCTTCCCCCTGGTGGTCAGTGCTCTCCCACAGCCAATCTCCCGTGGTCCCTCCCCCCTGCTGGCCTATCACGATTGGCCCTGATCACCAGCCAGGCTGAGGAACCCTACTTGTGCACGAATTCGTGCACCAGGCTTCTAGTATATAGATTGTAGATGATAGCTAATATTTGTGATGTTAAAAATTATCATCCTAATAGTTTTCTTTTAGGAATTTTTACAGAAGAACCCTTTGAGATTTGGGGTGGTTTTATGTATTTTAAAGTGGCAAGAATTATTCCTGCACATAGAAAATGTTATTTAAATCATAAATACTATTATAATAATTTTGGGGGGTAGAAATTCAACACTTAAAAAAATGACATACAGAAATGATTCCTAGTCATACAGGCCAAGACAGTATTTTCTCATGATACAAATGTGTTCCACGAAACACATGGACATGATACTTAGTAAATAGAGTTGGAGATCATTATAAAAGAAACACAATTTTAAATATCTATTATAGAAACAGTACAGGTGCATTGTTCCCAAAAGAGAAAATACAAAAATTAGAAAAAAAAATGCATATTCTCACCACCTAGAGATTATTATTATTTTTAAAAATATATATTTTATTGTTTTCTCATAGAGAGGAAGGGAGAGGGATAGAGAGCCAGAAACATCGATGAGAGAGAAACATCAACCAGCTGCCTCCTGCACACCCCCGACCAGGGATGTGCCCGCAACAAGGCACATACCCCTGACTGGAATCGAACCTGGGACCCCTGAATCCATAGGCCAACATTCTATCCATTGAGCCAAACCGCTTTGGGCAACCTAGAGATTATTACTTTTAGTACCTTAGTCTGTAATCTTTTTGTGTACATATAACTATTTGGATATATATATATATTTTTTTTTTTTACATTTTTTCCCTTTTATCTTTTACCAGGATGGATCTCACTGTACATTCTCTTTTATAACCTTCCCCCACCCATTAATGTCTAATTCATTTCAGTTATTTTCACTCCATCCAATACCCAGATTATATTCAAATTTCTCTAGTTGGCTCAAAAATGTCCTTTATGGCTGGTTTGCTAAAACAGTACCCATAACAGCATTGTACTTGTGAACTTGGCTGTTAGACCCTTTAAATTTTTTAAAATATATGTGTAAATATTTCTTTACCCAAAAAGAAAATGTTATTTCTTTTATAAAATATTTTTACCCAAAACATAATATATACACTGTTGTGCACATTTTTTTCTTAGTTTGTAAATCTATCCAACCAGTACATAGTAATCAATATGAATAGAATATATCGAATAGATTACACATAACAAACAACCTTTTCTTAATTATCAAAACAAAAGCTTTCAGTAATTTGATAATTATCTTTGGTTTGAAATAATAGTGAAATCAGCTTAATACTGTGAGTATACAAGCAGAAAGTGAAAAAAAAAATCCAGAAAAGGGCACTGAATATGGTGAATTTTGAAGTGCATTTGGAAGATGAATGGGTCCAGGGAAGGTGGGCGGAGAACTTTAGAGATGGTCTTGAAGGGAGGCTTTAGGCGGATTAATTTGGCTCATCTGAAAGATTCCAGTCAGGAAATCCTGGGATTAGAGAGGATTCATTGAGCTCAAGAAGAAATGAGAGCTGGTATGATGGTCACAATGCATAGAAATGTAGATTGTTGATAGTTTTTTATAGTTTGATATGTTATTTTTAAGTGTAGATGTTTGTTGTTATGCTAACTGTAGTGTGTAACAAGGGACTAGAATAGGCATGCCAAATATTGATTACTACCTTGATAGAAAATGAGAATAAGATTCTATCCCAGTTCAGTATTGTCAAGTGATAACACTTGAGGAGATCTTAATGGTTGTCTCAATGTAATCGTGTGGAATAGGAAATTGAAGTCTAAAAGGGTTAAGTGACTTGTCCAAATTATACATCTTCAATCTGATATCCTAATTCTTAATTGTATCTTCTTTTCTCTATACATGGTGTCTTATAATCAGGAACATTGGAGATTGTGTAAATTTTTGTTGTCTTGTTTTTAATTGGCTTTTGGTTTTTGTACCAAGACATTCAGTAGTATTTGTGATTTATAAAGTCTGAAGTTTTTGTTTTCTATGTATATCTAAATACTATAGAATGGGAGCTACCTTTTACCTTAGTACATTTTTAATATACTAAGTAGAGGGATTTTAAAATTATTTTACCAAATAATTTAAGGATTTTTAAAAAGAATGCATTTAACTATATTAATCATACATGATAATTTATAGATAAATTTGACAATTTTCATTAGCAAAGCTGTAGTGGGGAAAGCTTTCCAGATAATATTTTAAAATGTGTACATGTACTTTTCATTGTTCCATATTTCAGATATTTTCTTAACCTAAGTACTCAGATATTTATCCAAACATTATTGCTATGGGGTTTCCTGCAGAAAGACTTGAAGGTGTATACAGGAACAATATTGATGATGTAGTAAGGTAAGAACTCTTACTTTTTAATTTTGAATATTGCCATATTAATGTTGTATTTTCATTTAGAAAATATTTCTGAACCACTGAAAAAGATGTGCTTTGGCATGTAAACTTGATTTGGATATTATGTTGGTGTTCTATAACTATTTTTTAAATATGTCTAATGGGCCTCAATAGGATACAACTTATTTGAATTTGATAAGAATGAACGTTTTACTTAATCAGGTGTATGTGCTATGCTTTCGTGGACTCTATACAAAGTGCCCTTTAGTAGGTGAATGCCTGGATTCATTACATTAATTTTTATTTATTTTACAATTGGGGGTTAGGTTTAAAATTCTTGAGTGCATTTATTTACTTAAACATATTTATCCTATATAATATATTTATAAAACCAATACCATGTAGTTTTAAATATAGCAGTTTATAATGGGTCCTAAGTATATCAAGCACCTGAAGAAGTATTTGGTGCAAAGGATCTAGAAAAAAATTGCTGGGCATACCAAGACTAACTGTCCATTTTATAATTTTGCATAATTTTCTTAGTGTAATTATTCAGCTCAGAACAAGGCTGAATGGAAAGTTTAAAGTGTTTATGACCTAACAGTACATGGTATATTTTATGAGAGAAGGAATTTGTATCTGTTGTGTAGTCTTAATATATTTTCTGATGTCAATGCAAAAATCTGTTATGAATAAATTAAATGTAAAATATTACTAGAAACAACAATGGCTTTTAAAAATTAAAACTTGGGTTATTCTTGAAGATTTTTAATTTAAACATTTGATGGTTATGAAAATTAAATGTTTTAATTAGTCGTAATGCACTTTTAAAGCATTATGCAATGTAGAATTCTTTTATAATAGTTGTCTAAGTACATAAGACTACCTATATACCCTTATATGATTTTTAGCAACTTATGAACCAAAGTATATTAATATTTTTGCAGTACTGAATTGTGTCTAGTTGGGTTTTTGTAGTGTTCACATTGTGTTCAGAATTTTCAGTTTCTACAAAAACTACAAAAGAACCCAAAACTATTTTCTTTGTAAGTATCATACATGAGGCTGTCAGAAGTACTATTTAAGAAACTAAAAAGAAGGAAATGAACTTGCCCTTTTCATAGGCAAGACAGGAGAAGGATGCTTAACATCGAAGCAGTTTGATCTGGCTTAGTCAGTGATAACACATCAAGAGAAAATGCAATGGGTGGTAGAAAAAGAATGAGCAAAGTAAATTTTTTGATTGAGAGATGGAGAATCTGGGAAACGGGCTGTGCCGTCACCAGTCATATATTCTCTGTTGTGCAGGAGTATTTATTAGACCTCTTTAGAGCTTAGATGAACTATCTCATAAGATGATTACACATTACTATAATTCTATGTTCAACCAAATAATGATTCAACCAAGTCAAATTAGTACTCAATACTGGGAAAAAGTAAAGATGAGTTCTAAGGTCATTGTGAGGATATTTTTGTGGTAATCTGGTATGCTAGTTTTTTCATTGTTCTCTTTTGAATGTGAATTAATCTCTTTTGACTGAGTTAATCACTGAGGATAAATGATCCTTTTAGGTTACTGATAAAGTCATACATTTGATTATCAGACCTTAAATTGTAATAACTTCACCAAGAAAATATTATGCTGGGAAGTATTTTGATCTTTGATCTTTTGACTTCATAAGCACTGCTTTTTTGCTTCGGAATTTAGATTCACATTTTTAGTTTGTGTAACCAAAGTTGAAGTTTATTCTATCTGCTTTAATGTGTCTAGTTTATTTTATATACTTTTAACTTTTTCAACCTATTATTCTTAAAAATGTTTTATGTATATGGTTGGTTATATAGCCAAAGGTTGCTTTAACTGACTGATCTTGTCACCTAATGGTAATGGTAATAGCATATGAAAAATGAATTATTAACTGAGTGGAATAGTTGCGCTGTGCATATTTTTTATTAGTTTTTATTTTAATTTGAGGGATAAATGACTAGTAAGGCTTTGTTGGCTTCAGTTGCTTAACCCCTCCTACCCCCAAACTCCTTTTTTTTTTTTTTTTTTTTTTTAAAGGAGGAAAGGTTGGAAATTGTTATAATTGGTATGTTGCTTTTGGTCCAAAGATGATAACATAGCAGTGAAAAAATGTCTATTTTCTTATACTTTTTCTGTTAATGAAACTATTTCTAATTTGATGGTTCCTTACCCTGTTATTTGGGATGTCTGAAGAATAGTATCTTTTTTTTCCCTAATTCCATATTTTTCCTATTATTTTCCCCCATCAGTAAATATTATCTAGAGTTTAGATTTTATTGTTGTACATCAGTGCCTTGAGTAAAAGAAATCCCAATTTCGAATACCTTTATGCTTAAATTGTTCAGCATTATTTAACTGTTTTGGGATATGAATTATTATACCAATGTGAATTTTATACATGAGGTACTCAAAAGTTTATTTGTGACAAATATTTAACTTTTCTTAATTAGGTGACCTCCTAGGATCAGGAATTGATGTAAAAAACAAAAATGGAGAGAAGGGGGAAGATAAAATTTTTTACTACCCTAATTGGAAATTTATTTATTTATTTTTTAAATTCATTTTTTACAGAGAGGAAGAGAGAGGGATAGAGAGTTAGAAACATCGATGAGAGAGAATCATTGATCAGCTGTCTTTTGCACACCCCCCTACTGGAGTTGTGCCTGCAACCAATGTACATGCCCTTGCCCAGAATCGAACCCAGGACCTTTCAGTCCACAGGCCGACGCTCTATCCACTGAGCCAAACTGGTTTCGGCTAATTGCAAATTAAAAAAAAATATTTATTTTCCTAAAAATATCTTTGCTCGAGGATATGTTGTTATTGATTAATCAGAGAGAGAAAACATAGATGTGAGAGAAACATTGATCTGTTGCCCCTCAATCTTTTGGTGTACGGTACAACGCTCCAACCAACTGAGCCACCAAACCAGGGTGCAAATGCTTTAATAAACCATTAGGATTGACTTGGCAGGACAAGGACAGTTCATAGAAGGGAAGTTGAAGCACTAACTCTCCTCAGACTGTTTTTCCTTTTTCCTCTTATTACCACTTTTTATTCCCCTTCTTACCACTAGTTGATCCGACTAGCTGGTAATATGAAACAATGTTTTATTCAGATAATTGATTATTCTTTGATATGTATGTCAGTCTTATCTAAATTATATGTTATCTGCTATAAATCTAAGCAGTCTTTAACCAATTAATGCTTCATGTGTTTAGCAGACATAGCCCGAGAACTGTTCTGTACCTAATAGCATCCGGGAAATACAGGTTTAAAGAGGTGAACTGGCTTTCTTACTGTAGATCTCTCGAGTGAAATTATAATATGCTTTTCTCTCCCCCTTCTTTTCCTCCTTTCTTTCCTCGTCTCTTTTCTTTTGTGTATTAAATATCATATTTCTAAATTGTGCTTTATGGAGCATAATTTAGAAATGCTAAAAATGAAAAAAATGCATTTAACAATATTTTCCCATAGTTTGAATTAGTAGGAATTTACTTCCTCCTCTTTTATTGGAAAGATTTTAGGTGTGAAAAGATTCCCATGTTTATTGTAAGGGAATGCTTAGAATCAGTTTTCTGATATATGGTGATTAAAAACAACATTTACATTATCTTGTATGATATCAGTTTTTATTCATATATAAACAACTATTATAGATTAAGAGTTCACCTTTTTTCCTGTTTTATGCAATTTTCTTATTAAAGACATTTTTCAAATATTCTTAATTATATGTTAATCTTCCTATCAACCTTAATTGTATGCTAATTTTTCAATAAAAAGGAAATGTTTTTGTTACCCTACATTATCATCCTTTGGCTATTGAGAGGAGAGGACATTATTTAGAGGATTTAATGTTTAGGGATTATATAAATAAATTAGAAGAAAGTATCAATTTCATTTTCCCTTTTTAACAACTTTTGACCTCTTCTCTCATGTAGGAAATCATCAAGGAAAAGTCTTTTCTGGTGTTATTATACCAGGAAATGTCTGTAGGACTTGAGTTTCCAGATTGGAAATACCTATATAATGCCAATCATAATAAATGAAAATAGGGCAATACCAGGTAAATTATTACAAAATTTCTTGAACACCAAAAATAATGGGAATGTTTCAGAAGTTTTTAGGCTTAATTAGGAAGCATTAAGGAATATGAATGGCATTAACTTTTTGGCAGTATAATTAAAAAATAGAAGATGGAGAAAACAGTACTTCAAAAATTGAACATGTTCAGTCTTGAATTCTGTATCTATATAAACTACCTATCAAGTGCAAAAGTAGAAAAACAAAATATTCAAGGACTAAAAAGAATATATTCATGAAACATTTCTCAGGAGATTACTAAAAGATGTGCTCCAGATAAACAAGGGAATAAACCATGAAATAAAAGGGCTTCAGTAAAGAGAAGATCCAACTCAAGCGAAAAACAAAAGTCCGAGGATGACAACTATGCTATAAGCAGAAGAGCAACCAGTTCTAATTGGAGTAGCAGGATAGAGGGATTTAGGGGAAGAAAGAAAAAGAACTGATAGGTTGATATTGAAATATTTGGGGAAAAGATGCAAGAGAGTCTTAGAAAAATAGGTGACTTAGAAACAGAAAGCAGTTATTAATATTTGCTGGTTGATTTAACCCAATATCATGATACTACCTGTTAAGGGGGATTAAGAGGAGTGAAATATATGTGTGTGAGTTCTGGTTTTTTAAGTCTCTTTACCATGGCAGAAAATATGTAGATAATTAGTAAATCTACAAGATTCAGTATCATCCTATATATTACATAGAAATGCTGAATTAAATGCCAGGGAAAGGATCTGAGTAGTTGAGAGTGATTGCTTTTAGGAGAGAAGCAAAAATTTGGGTTTGAAGATGGATGAATAGAGTTGGAGATGAGAAACTTTTTTGTGTGTGTATGATAAAATATATATAAGATAAATTTTTACCATTTTAACCTTTTAAAAAATAAATATTTTTA